TTATTAAATTTTTATTTAAAATTTATACATTAAAAATTAAAAAAATTTAAATAAATCTATTACAAATAAATGAAATGAATATCTTGCTTAAAATCTACCCGTCATAAGATAAGTCATAACTCAATCATGATATACAAGTTACATGGAAAAGTATGAACTCAATCATGATAAACAACAAAAAGTATTTCAAGTTTTAAAGGTAGAACTCCATTGCCTATTTTCAAAAAAAAAAAAAAAAAGGTTTCAAAGATACAAGTTACAAGTTGTGAACTCAATCATGACTCCTCTTAACCCACTGATATAAATTATTTAAAAATTTTTGATTATTTATTTATTTTTATTATAAATAGTTTAGATCTATTACTTTTATGAATGGTAGAGATTAATTTTATAATAAATATTATTTATTTATAATAAAAAAATAAATAATTAAAATTTGAAGTAAATAATAAACAACAAAAAATTGTATATGAGCAAGTCAGAACACTTATATATATTTGTCTATTGTGGATTGCAGTTGCATGCTGACACAGTAAGGACCAAGTTTCAAGAGAAAGCGGTTGGGCCCATAACGGTATAATGGGCCGCAGTCCATGGGTCATCATAACCCATATGTAAACCATGCGGGGCTCTAATTTCTCGGTGGGTCCATTTTTTGTTATGTAGGCATCAATATAAAATGGTTAAATTGATTCAAATAAAAATGATTCAATTCTTTTTAAATAAGATTTTGAATTCAAGTTTTATAAATGAAAAAATAGATATTGAGAGAGCTTTTTCCCTTATCGGGTCTAACGTAGTCCAATTCTGAATTAATCGAATTCAATGTAGTTATCAAATACCGATAAGTTAATACCAAAAACTCTAAAATGGTTAAAAAATAAATAAATAAATAAATATAAAGCAAATCTAATTAGGCCCAAGTTCATCTTGTGCAATTAAGATTGATTTAATTTGTTGTTTGGGCCTATTTATTATCCTTGGATCTCATAATGGGCCAAATCCTTCGCCCCCTTTCCCACTGCCCACTGGTACACACTAGGCCTCAGGCCTGCATTCCTTTTATTACCCCCACAAAAATGTATGACAAAAAGCCTTCGAGTGACAAAAACATGCCGAAACCTAACGTTTTTTTGGGCCAAATGCTGAAATCTAACTTGGTTTAGAGCTTTCTTCTACATTAGTCTGCTTTCTCTGCTATTATTTCTTGTTTTCCAATGAGTGTTCCTTTTTTCCCGAACACCATCTAAGTGAAGGAGCATCCTCAGCCTGTCAATTTGAAAAAAAAAAAAAAAATCTACTCCTATCATAATGACAAATTAGTGTTGAATAATCTTGTTGTCAAAAAAAAGTGGCAACCAAGTTTTCTATGAGGAATCTGTGGGCAACGGATAGGTCTTCAATATATGCCTAGTGAAAGATTGAAATTGGTTTCTGACTTGGCATTTCAATACTCAATGCAAGATATGGATCCACCGAAGAAAAATCTATGTGTAGGAGTGGAGAGTTAAACGAAGAAGATGAGTCCAAGAGAGGCATGAAGAGTGTGTGTGTATAAGAGAGAATAAGTAGAGATTATTTGATAAAAGTTAACTTGATCATAATTGATACTTTAATTATTTCTTAGTTAGTATCTTTTAATCAAAAGTCGTTAGGTATTCATTAACAATATAGTCATTAAGCTAATTCTGAAAAAGAATCGTAACAATTAGACTCATGGATGCTTGCCACGGGCCTCGAATGCTATGAGACTATTTTTGGATATAGTAGATCTCATAAGAGTTTTAGAAAAAAATTTGGCATACCAATCATGTGGCAACGTTGAATTTCAAGAAAACTTCTATTATGCCAATATTTTATGTATAGTAGATTGTTTTAAATATGAGATTTTACCAATCTTGTGTTTTTATTCCGTTAGGGACTTTTTTCTACACATGAAAATTTAATTTTAAACTTTATGAAATTTTATTTTATTTTATTATTATTCTTATTATTTTCATTTTAAGTTGCGTAAAGAAAGAAAATGCTCTTTTATTCATTAACTCACATCTTATATTATTTGAATTTAAAATTTTT